TAAGTTCTGTTCAATTTTGTCTGCTTTATAAGACTTTGTGTTCCACAACTGAATTTTATGTCAGTTTGTCTATAATGTAGGTACTGTTCATCTGTTGATGGACTATTAGAACATTATTATAATAGTAAATTCTACTTAGAAGCTTATTACAGCTTCGTTCACCAATCACTCATGAAAAACCTGGCTCTTCCTTTGTACTCAGTTACTTGGTACTTTTCTTTTAATCCATTTACATCGATTTCTGCTACTCCAACTCTGCCTGCCATTGCATTACAATTAAGAATTCTGATGTACCCTCACTGTTTCAGAAGGGAAAGAGCTCTTACTCATTGCCAAACTCAGGCAAACAAAAAACCAACAAAAACAACAAAACACAAAGCCCCCTTAGAATTTGCTTAAGCCAGCACTTTAAAATTGAAGAACTAAATTATGGTTCTTGGAGCCAGCAGAGCTCAGTGGTGCTGAGACGTCTGAAAGCCACCGCACCACCCATGCAGTTATGGAAGAAGGCCTTGTGCCTTTGTCAGGCAAAATTAGCCATAATGTCTCCCTCCCTCCAGGCACACTCAGCAGCAGGCTGGCTGCTCCCCTACTTGTCTCAGAACTCCTGCTGGCTTGTGAGGCACTGCTGCAGTCCCAGCCGTGCATAGTGTACTCCGAAGGGCAGCTCTAACTTTTCCACTACCTTGAGTGCATTTAACAGCATAAAGAGTGCTTTCTGCCTTGAAGCTCAGCTCAGAGAACGAGCAGCTAATGGTTCTTGGGCTGCTCTTTGCAACACCAGGTTCCTCAGCAAAGCAGTACTCATTTCCAGCACTACTGTTATTAACACTCTCATCAAGAGTTGCCACTATAAGATAATTCTTAACTAATATCCCAGATCAGGTGCTTGACAGAGAATGGTACAACTCTTATGATATCAAGTTCCCCATTTTTGTCATCAAAGTCATGCATAACCATTTCTACCACACACATTCAGTTCTCTGCTTGTGTATTTGCCCAAATGGATACGATATAATGCTACAGAATTCTGCACTCCATTACGTATAGGTTATCTTTCACAGGAATGTGATTGCTCTGAGTCAAACCAAAGCCCCGTGTAGCCCATGTCCAGCCCCTACCCCACTGTGGATGGCTAGAGAGGAATGTGAGAACAGGACAGCTGGAAACGAGAACCCCTTCCACTCTGCAATCACTTAAAATCTACACCATTATGTAAACTGTTTTCAGCCAGCATTTGCAATGATGGGCTGTAATGTTTTCTGGTCAACTTCATCTTTTCTGTTTCAAGGTGCTATGGGATTATGCGAAATGATCTGAGCAACCTCCTGTTCTCTGTTTTTCCACTGTAGGCTCCGCTGACCTAGATGTGCACGGGTAAAACAAGCCCAATTCAGCCTGATATGCCTTTCTTCTCTCCAAGATGTTGTTATAGGATATCCCAAGCACTGACAATATTTCTGATAAACATTTTTGGTTTTGCCATATCATCTTTTCTACCTTTATACTCCTGCCCTCAGCATAGCAAGAACTGACATCGTCTTTGACAAAGGGAGGACGAGACAGCAAATCCCTTAGAAACCGCTGCGCTGAGAGGACCGCCGCTGTTTGTGCCAGAGCCAGACTGCGGCTGGTGCTCCTCTGACAATCTCAACTTGCACCGTCCCTAAACTTTGTAGTGAGAGCCAAGGTGGTAACGCGACGCCGAAGGTAAAGCGATCCACCAACTAGAAAGATGTTAATCCTGACAAACTGCCTGAGCATTAGCCCGAACCGCAGCGAGATTGAATCCCGGCTCCCCCGGGAGAGCCGCTGCTGCCGGCGGTAACAAAACGCCTTTCAGGCGCCCGGAGCGCGGCGGCGGCGGTGCGAGCGCGGAGCGACAGCGCCCTCTGGTGCCCGCCAGGCCCCGCTCCGCCGGCGCTGCCCCTCCGCCGGGCACCGCGCGTCGCTGCGGCATCCGCCGGCCGTGGTCAGACGGCTTTAAAGTCCTTCCTTGCGCGGGGAAGGAAAACGAACGGGTTTGGGAATTCGGCATCCTTACAGCAGTCGGCAGTTTCACAGGCTATGAGTATTCTGTAATCAAACACAGGGCTACATTTTGTCCTCACGTACCAGTAAGGAGCGTTAGAACTACGTGACTACAATGTTCCTAAATTTATGAGAGAGGAAATAAAAATAAATTCCGCATCTCAAACTCCAACACTTAATCACAAAGTAAGTCCTCTTAAGACCGAGATCCACGCTATCCCGAAGTTGGTGGCCACCTCCATTTCCTAAATCTTTGGGTTGGACCCAACAAAGGGACCGTGAAAAAAGTGCCATTTTAAGTGGGTACAGCATAGGAAACTATGTATGGATTTTTAGCTTTAAATGCTAACAGAAAAACGCAGACGTAAAACGTCTAGAAAGTATGCTGCTGAACGGCTCTCAATTAATTGATTCCAGATGAGACCTCTGCTCACACACTGAAGATATTTTGCAAAACATCCAGCTCACAAAATGGATTCAAAGTCATCCAAAGAGGTTGACCCAGGAGGAGCAGACCCAAGTGTTAAGTCAGAAGTTGCTTCAGATTACTATGGTGTCTGTGCTGGAAATACCTTCTGGAATTACTGTGGAAATCTGTTACTTAATGCATGCCCTGCTGCAGCGTTTGCAGAGAAGAAAAATAACAATCTCAAACTCCTGGAATTCTGAACTTCACCCGAACTAAATCAAATATGTTGTTAAAATGGTATAGAAACTGAAGCGGGAATCATGTGATATATTATAAAGCGTGTTATCAGATCACAAAAATTGTTCTAATCTTTGTAGTTTCCCCACATTGTTATGCAAAAGAAGATTCAATTTGGTTGTTCTGTCCCTCAGTCATCCATTTCCATGCATATTTCCTTCTGAAACTACTGATGATAAATTGCAATGACTTATCTCTTGATGTGCTCTATCGTAGCAGCTTTTCTGGTAATGAAGTAATCTAGTTCTTGGTGATTTCTTACGGACAGACAACACATAAATGTTAGCAAAGTTGAAGCTGATGTAGAGAAGTCTGTAAATAACATCATGCTAATCACCTGACGCTCTAGTGAAAAGCTGAGGGAAATAAATAAATAAACTATTAAAAAAATAAATGAAAGAATCCCATTCCAGGGCCTAAGAACAAGAGTCTGCAGGAGAAAGGTACCTTTTAGGTAACTGCCCTCAAAAATGTCCAGTTCATTTACTGAAGAGGTAGCTCTTTGTTCTGTAACTTTATTTTGCCATTGTCCCTCAAAAGGAAGGAAAAGGGCTTTAGAAGTACAGTAAGAAACTTCTATTTTCTGTAGTATGGTAGACAAAGACTTCTGCTATAGAATATGTGTTAAGGTCTGAAGCCCAAAACTAGATCATCTTCTCTTCATTCTCACTGCCTATCTCCCAACAACATGATTTGCACTGCTCTGCTATGAAAATGCTGTTCATAAGCAAGCATCTGCAATTCCACTCCCTTGTACTTGTGTATACCTCTCCTTATAAAATCATCCACAGGACTGAGTACAGCCATCAATTTCTGTTTCAAACCTCAGTGGACAGAACTGAGGCAGATGCCAGATTAATTATTGCAGAAGTTCCATATCGAAAGTAAATTCATTTATTGATACAGGGCAGCCAGTGTGGAAAAAAAGAGCAAAATCCCTACCTGGAAAAATCACAGACTTTGGAAACACTGAAGCAAGCAAGGGAAGGGGAAAAGAGGCAGACAGACATTCAATAACATCTGAGTAGTTGCTTCCCTCCTTCTGAATCTGTTAGTGCTTTTCTCACTCAACAGTTTCATTATTAAAGAATTAAAAATATTTAATTTCTTAGTAGAGGCTGCACAGTCTGTATCACCATCACAAATCAACAGGAAGAAAGTCTTTCCCAGGGAGTTACTACTCACTGGAATGCGAAAGGAGAAATGAGCATTCTCTTTTATAAAAGGCCAATTTCTGAATTAGTGACCTCATTTGCTAAAGAGGTTCCTTTGTCACAGATATCTCAGTAGGTAAATACTGTGTTACACAGCCACTCCGTCCTTTGTAGCGATGTACAAAGATCTCCTCGCATATACCGGTTCTCTCCTCAGCAGATGAATATTTAAAAGAGTAGACAATAAAGGGGGGGGCTTCTATAGGAGGTAAAGGCATTTGTATCATGATGTCAGATTGCTATATGCGCTCCCCAAGGACTGCACAGGAAGCACTTTTATTCTGAAACTTCATGGTATTTATGGGGACCCACAGCCCGATCTATTTTGCCTTTCTTGGGGATGTGCTCACGCACGTCTCACCCAGGAGTCTGATGCTTTCTGCACCAGCCCATGTTAGAGACAGATACCATTTTGGTACCTTGTGAATAGTAATGCATTTCAAAACCAGCAAGCAAATTAAAAAGACAATAAAAGGAGAAAGATATAAATCAAAGTCTTTCATTCCAGATAGAATATCCCTTCATTTCATGCACTCCTAATTTCTACATATCCATTTCATGCCTGGGAGCTACAGCACAAGTAAAAGATTTGCAGTTTGGAGCTTTCAGTATCTGCTTATCCGAAGGAACATTTTAACACATACAAACGCTCACCATCTCCCTTCCAGTCCCCCCCCCCGCCTCCCCAGCAAGATGTGGAAACAAGAATAACAATAAAAAAATTTAATAAATAAATAAATAAATAAAAAATAAAAAGAAAGGAACCACCACTCAAGAACCCAACGGCGGCCGCTGCTCTCTTCCTCCCGGGGCTGCGGAACCCTCGGGCCCCTCCGCGCTCCCCGCACACACCTGCCCGCCCAGCCCCGCGCTGTTGCCGCTAAGTTTGCTGCGCAGCCACGCGCGGACACGCACGCATCCTCCCGCCGGGCGCTGCTGCTGCTGCTGCTGCTGCGCGCAACGGGAGAGCAGCGCTCCCGCGGCCACCCGTTTGCTCCGCCAAGCCGGCGCGGCTCCGCGCTGCTCCCGCGGCTTCAGGCAGTGCCTACCTGCGAGTCCAGCGGGGCTGGAGGCTTCCCGGGGCCACCTCCGGAGTAGGGGGAGAGGAGGCAAGTCCCATTCACAACTAGACGCCGAGCAGAGGCGGCAGCATCTTCAGCCTATTACACTCCACCCTCAGCGGCTGCTGAATGAGGCTCCGAGCTAGTGGCAGGAATTAGAAAGAGGGAGGGAGGGGAAAGGGGAGATGAAAGGGGAGAGGGAGGGAGAGAGAGGGAGCGAGCAAGGGGGAGCGAAGCGAGATGAGAGGAAGGGAGAAGCTGGAGGCTGTTGCTTCTTCTCGGTTTCCTTTTCCCTTCCCCCAGCCCAGAGGGAAGCGAACCCCGAGCCCGCCCAGGAGCCGCGCCCCGAGTGCCCGCGACGGGAGAAGCGAGGCTGGGGGCGAGGGGCTGCGGAGCCCACACGCGCGCGCACGGCTCTGCTCGGCTGCTCTCGGCCGCGCGGGCAACCACGCGCGTCCGCGAGGGGACGGGGCCGCCCAACCCGCTGTGCCGACGGGACGTGCCCCGTCCCTGCCCTGCCCTGCCACCAGCCCTCTGCGGACGGTACGAGAACACCCCACGGCAGCGCCTCCGCGGGTGGGCCGGAGCCCCCGCAAAGCCCTGGGCACGGACAAAACCGTGTGGCTTTGCTGCCCGGACACACCTCGACAGGGACGGAAAGCACCTCGGGTGGACGAGCAGCCGGAGCGCGATGTGCTGAACGCACTCACGTTTCCTCACATAATTACACATTTCTCCGGAAACAATAAAAGTTTCCCATGCATTTCTACACATGGAAGATCTCAGCCTGTGCAGTCCAGAGCCCTCGAGACTCAGGGTTGAGTCCTCCCTTCCTTACAACTCAGGGCACAGTGCCCAGGTGGAGCAGAGCTGCTCGGCATCTCTGTGGCACATGCTGTGTGCCAACCCGGCGGCACCACAGCCTGCTCCTCCTGCCTTAACACCACGCAGGCACACACCAGCCTGCGAGACGTGCTCAGCCCCCTTACAGCCCCAAGGTCCACTCACTCGGAGGCTCAAACACAGCGCAGGGAGGGAGGGATGCAACGAACAGCCCATCAAGAATCAGTCTGGCAATGGTTAGGTGCACCTTTGTGAAAAGAATCTGCCCGTCCTCAGGCAGCCCACCCGCCCGCTCATCCCCCACGCCACCAGGCAGCACTGCTCCGCGATCGCACCACTCAGCCCTGAAGAACAAGGCTTTTATATGCTGTGGTTAATTAGCTCTGCCAATAACTCCAGGCAAAGGAAAAAAAAAAAAAAAAAAAAAAAAAAACTCTGGCACAAAAAGCTCCCACTGTACAAACAAAGAATTTGGAAGGAGGGAAGCTGATAAACAATGCATCCCAGGGAGGCCGGCAGGCACTGAACTCAGCCCAGCAAGCAGCAAGCCCTGGGCCTGGTGTCAGCCCTGGGGAAGGAGCAACAGCTTCCTCCTGTCTGCAGGGCTGGGGATTGAGAATTAAAGCTACCATTTGCTTCAGAGAGATGCTGAGAGTTCCCAGTTCATCCACATAGGAAGCAGGGCCTGCCTGCAACATGAGGCAGCCTGGGGTGCCACAAAATCCAAGCCCTGAGCATGGTGCTCACCGGCCACAGGGACAGCAGCTGCTGTAGAGTGCTCAGAGCTTGGGGCTGGCACTGGAAACACCAGAAATACCCTGGGCTGAGCTGAGAGCATGAGGTAACCAGACAGCTAATTAACTGATACTGAAGTACTAAAGGCTCTATTTGGATAGGAAAAAGGCTGTGGTGGTAAGAGAACTAGCTTAAGGAAAGAAGTAGTTTTTGATAGGAAATGTGAAGAGTAATAAATTGCTATCAAGAAATAAAGCATGAAAAGAATAGCGTTTGAGAAAGTTTCTGAGGAGAAGCAGCTGAGGAAAAAAGGTGATGCACATTAATTTAGAACAGTTTTGTCAAGAAATTGGTTTTGGAGAGAAAACATGAGAGGAAGGGCAACATCTCAAAATAGTTTCATACAATCTCAGCCCAAACCTATTGACTTTAGTGTGTCATCAGTCTCCTGTGACAATAATATGAGAATTACCATTTGTTTTCTTTATGGGCACAATGCAGCAGCTCTACTTAGCACAGCTCTGCTGCTGGGGCTGCCAAAATCACCACTTCACTGAAGCCCAGGGCTGGGCAGTTGGCTGAAGAATCTTCCCTTTTTCCCTTCTCCTGCTGGCTTCAGCAGCACAGTGGAGGGGATGACTTTTGTAATTCCCTTTTTCAAACTGCTGAGATCAGGGTTTTTTTGGATATAAAGGAAACGTGAAAGCAATTTCAATCTAATTAAGCATATACAATAGGTACCCATAATATTCTCTAGTCAAAGAGCATATTGATCTATAATGGAAGGTTTTATTAATTCCATTTGAGGAGGCATGTTAACAAATGAGGGCAGTAACATCTGATCTGGTGAGTGCATCGAGTTTCCTCTCTTCTCTCTACACTAAAATCTCACAGTTCAGCTAACCAGATCAAATATTATTTTTCCTTTATTTGTCCATCTTCTTACTGGATCTATGGATGGAAGGTCCTATCTGCAAAATTAACACAGAATTCTTACTGAAATCTGTGTGTTTGCACCACTCTGCTGAGTTTCATTTCTGACTACATCAATAATTAGAATTGTACGTAATGTCAGTAAAAAGAAGTCCCTCTATCCAGATTGGGCAACTAGCTGGAGATACCACTCTCTATACACTGAAAGTTCTCAATCACCAGCTTATGCTGGAAACCTACAACCATCTAAAGTTAGATGAGTCCTGCTTTTTATGTTAGATATGGAAAAAAAAAGAAGTGGTCAAACCAAAACAAATATGTGCTGCTGATAGATGAGGACATTTGTCATATTCCCTTTACTACAGATTATATTCAGGCAACAACCCTGCCATAATTTCAGGAAAACAACTGCAGAGTCCTTGCACAAGACATGCCAGTGGTTCACATAAAGAGAAATATGCAGGAATGTAACCAGGAACATTCACAGAACTACACAGCTGAAGTTCTAGCAGCTCAGTGCTCATGTGTGCACTCACAGTATGATAGACAAAGAACTTCACTGACTGACCAAGTTGTGCCTTGTCATTCCTACCACAAATAAAGGTGAGGAAACTAGGATAAACTTTGCAAAGTTCCGTGTTTGCAGACTATTTCTTCTGGTGACTCTTCATCTATAAAACCTTAGGCTAGATACTACCTTTACGAAGGTCATGTTGCAGCCAATGTAAATTCTATGTGGACAGTATCAGAATAAACCCAGCTTAAAATGGGAAATCCTTCCAAATACAATCACCACCTGTCTTTACAAAACATTACATGTGAAACACAAAGCAGGCTTCAGCTATCCTGCTGCCATGGAAGTCATGGCAGAGCAGCAGGGGTGTACAGGAAGGTCTGCAGTTACCACTTACAGCTGCTTGAAACCTGGTGGCAAAATGCAATCAGTGTGAGACATAAATAAAGGAAGTTTATACATATTTTAAACAGTATCTATTTTTGGATATCCATATATTTAGGTTAAGAACATCTGTGATAACAAATCTGCAAAACCTAAAAAAAAGATTTCTTTACCTACTGTGGGCTTACAGAATCTGACGTTAAAATTCTGCTCATTGCTTGGTAAGTTAACTCATTTATCATTTCAAAATAAGCTAGCTGGTTTGCTTCCCAAGTATCTGAATGGGTACATGCACTTCTGCTAATTGAATCATTGTTCTCGGAAACATTGCAGCTGAGTTCATGAAATACACATAAGCAGGTGTATCATAAGTTTAAGCTGGGCATTTGTATTAAAATTTGTATGGAAAACCTTGAACTGCGAACTTCAGAAATGGAAGTCCAACAAGCCTTCCACAGTTCAAAAGATTTCATCAGCATCTCATTTACTGAATACCTTAGGCACACCAACACAATAAATGTGAAAGACTCTTCTTTCTTTCCATGTTTTGACCCTCTTTTTTCCAGGCCCTACAAGCTGTTTTCCCATATGACTTCAGCTACCTTTAAAAGACCTGTAATTTCCTTCACTTTTCTTCTCGCTTGGAAAGTGTTTGAGATTTTAAAGGGCATATTGCTAGCAGCAGGAGCTGGGAGTTCAGGAAGAAGAGAGACAGTGAAAAAGAAGTATAGAAGAGAGTCGTAGTAAAAAATATTCCATAGACTAAACAACGTGTTTGTTCCAAATGTCCTTCAAATTCAGAAACAAAGCAAAATTTGCTTCCTATGTGAAAATACATAAAGCAGGACTGAAGGAGAGAGGAAAAAAATTCTTCCTACTGACCCTAAAAGAAGGATAACTAATGAAAGGCACAGTACTAGCACATTGAGAACACAAGTATGCAAGATGAATGTAACTTACAAAAGTGTGCATCTTGTAGAACGCACAGTTCAAAACAACCATTATCTGAAGCTGTGTTTTCGGGGTTTTTTTTTGGTGTGGGTTTTTTGTTGTTTGTTGTTGTTTTTTTTAATAAAAAAGTCTTCCTTGTGGAAATATAAGAATATTGTTGTTACAACAACAAAGTGTTGCTATGTTCTGATATCCTTGGGAAAGGTTAAAACAAAGGCAAAAACACACACACACACAAAAAGTGCAAAACAACAGATACAGAAGCTGTCTCCACAAAGTTAACAATCTACCAGCATATTCCTTGAAGCACTCAAACCTGGAAAGAAAAGGGAATCTTGAAGTAGGAAGAACCAGGGAACTATGGAAATACAAATGGGTGCTCCACAGTTTTGTTTTCATTCCAGATGTGCACATGGACCTTCCTTTCAATGTACCAGCTGCACAGAGAAATCATCAGCTTGAATCACCTATTCCAAGCGGTACCCAGGACAGCACTCTCACAACCAGGATTGATGGCATATCAAGGAGATATCCAGATTTGGAGTTTGGTTATGTATCTGTCTACTGCAAGAAAAGGCCTCATTCCTAGACCAGAGCAAAAAAAAGCTCTTCCCTTTAAACTGCTGATGGAGTCTGGTCTGATGGCATTCCATATTTTAACTCATCTTCATAATGAAGATAAAATTCCTCGTTTTCAGTCAAACTCAAGTGGCCAGACATGGGCCACAGGATAAGAATGTGCCTATCAATCAAAGACAGCAAAACTGAATCCAAATTTGTTCAAGCAGCAGTAGAAGAAAAGTCCATTTTTCTCCAGTTTTCAGAAATCTTTTAAAGGTAGGTC